TTTTGAGAGGAGAAATATCTTTATTAGATGGGCCAACTTAGAAATTAAGTAATAACTTTAAGGTTTAGTTGTAAATATACTGTCTTTGAATAATTAGTATGAACCGAAAATAGCAGATTTGAATTAAGTTGATGTGACCACAGATAGTTTTATTAAAAACATTATTGATTGTAATGTTTTTACGACTGTTGATATACAGTCGTATGTGTTTCAGTCATCCCCATATTGGTATTTTATTTTTATTTTTTAAAGATTAAATAAAAGAATCAAAGGCACAAAATTATTTCTATATAATTCTTCCTCCAATCCTCCTGGCTCTTGTAGCATTTTTCAAATCTTTAGTAATTGGTTTGAATCACAGCAAGAGCTTTGTGGGCAATGTTGACCACAAGATGGGGAAAATGAAAGGGCAGAACCTAGAAACCTGGACTGACCAGTGGTTGGAAAATTGTATTCCAAAAACAAAATTGTATGTTGGCTTTTTCTCAACATACAGTAGCTTCTTTTTTACGATTAGCCTGATTTAAAAAGCATTTTTCAAAATTCAAAAATACTTTATTAATCCCAATGGGAAATTAAATGTAGCTCATTAATTTAGATTCTACAAAGATCTATTGAAGATGGTGATGGCTGTTGGCAGGAAAGATTTTCTCCAGCACTCTGTACTGCACTAAATCTGAAGAACTGAACCAGAACTGAACCAGCCTTCTTTATCAGGCTGTTGAGCCCAATTAAAATGGCTGAACCACAATGTTTTTAATTGAGAGTGGTAGACCTGTGACACCAAACCTCTCTGTAATTTGGGAATGCCTTTGGTGCAAATATGCGTTTCCTGTAAGAATATTACCTCTGATTTCAGTTTATTCATATGAGAACACTGTTGCATAGAAAAAGCTTCTGCAATTATAACGGAGGCTCAGATGTTTTCACCAAACATTTTCTGTTCAGTTTTTATTGAACACAAAAACAGCAAAAGCTGGATAAAAGCAACAGTCGTTTGAATTGTGATGCATTTGGTTTGAAGCAAAAATGTCTTAACTGTCAGCGCGAAGGCAGCAGATAAAACACCGATATCAAAACACGACAGGTTATAAAGATAGCCTTATAAAATGTATCTTATTAGCAGCCCACTTAACAAAGACAAAAGGAATGTTTATCATGTAAGTGCTTGTTTTCATTATTATTTTTTTTATTAAACTGCATTTGTTTAGTTGTGAATTTTAACTTAACTTAAAATAACTTTTACAAATTAATTTTAGTTTCAGCATATAACTAAAGTATGTGAAGTATATGCAACCCTGTCCGTGTCAGATGACACCTCGCTGTTTCTTAGACTCTGCATTGTGTTTTCTTTAAGGGTTTTTTTTTGTCGGAAGAAAACTTGAGGCAGGAATCGGACACACACGGCGGTTGAGATCGTGGTTCAGACTGTCTATTTGGACAGCGCAGCAGCTTCGTCTTCAGAATTCACAGCAAATACTGCGTGTCAACATAAGTCTCATTAATGCAGTTTTTTTTGTTTACAAATATAGCATATACTAAAAAATAGAAGAAAAAGACAAAATGATACCAAACTAACTACTTGGACATTAAAAGTAACATTTGGCTACAGTGAGGGGCTGGCAGTCAGTATTGCTTGTCTTCAGAATTCACAGCAAATACTGACCTTTGTACTGCCAACGCACAGTAACAGACACCAAGTATGGCGTTCTTCAACAGACACACTTTACCAACTTCCACAACCCAAAGAAAAAATCTAACATTTTGGTGACATGCACTGACATATTTAAAGCACTGTCCAACATATACTTTAGTTATACTTCAGTGGCTTGACTTGATTACCCTGTCTGGTAACACTTTATTTGAAGGGGGTTGAATAAGACTGTCATGACACTGTCATAAACATGACATAACACCTGTCATGAACATGAATAAGCCTTCATGAATATTTATGACTGTTGTCATAAAGCGTCATTCGGTAAATTATGACACTTTTAATACAAAGTTGACATTATTCAAAATGTCTTTATGACAACTTGACATTAACCAAGAAATCATTACTGTTCAAACTTTACCTTTAATAACATAAAGTTACCTAATTTTTAAAGTGAAATCAGTAATACTTTTATAACAAATTTATGTCAGATCATGATTTCTTGGTTAATGACAAGTTGTCATAACAAAGACATTTTGAATAATGTCAACTTTGTATTAAAAGTGTCATAATTTACCGAATGACGCTTTATGACAACAGTCATAAATATTCATGAAGGCTTATTCATGTGCATGACAGGTATGTCATATTTATAATGGTGTCATGACAGTCTTATTCACCCATCTTCAAATAAAGTGTTACCCAATATCTTTGTTTATGACCAATTTTTCAAATACTGTCAACTCTACAATGGTCTATTAAAGGCCTTTCTGCCAAACAGTGGTCTTCAGAAACACAATTTAACAGTAACAGAGCCAATGTGGGTCATTCTGAAATGGATAATGGTAGTTACTACCATCACAATCTTAAAATAATAAAAGTACTTGAGTGAATACTAGTACTTTTTTGGTGACAAGAAAGACTAAAACTAATAAGAAAACAAAATCATGGACAAAACACATACATTTCTGATCAGTGTGAGCGCAAACTGAACAGATAAGGCTCCAGGTTTAACTTAAGCCTGGCCGTTAGCCTGGTCTGGAGCAGGCTAGCTTCACAGAATAAATGACCATGGTAAGTTATGTGTTACCTCTTTTGTGAAACTGAATCAAGAGCTTTTGCAGCAGGGATGGTGTTGAAGGCCTCACATCTGCTGTGGTCACACAGAGAGGTGTGTCACTAGGTGGTGGTATAAGTCTGGTGCTGATGGTGGTGTTAGGATCCATAAAGAAGGCATCAAACTTATTGAGTGCATCTGTCAGTGAGGGGTCCCTTGGGCATTGTGCATCCCTGATGTTGTAGTCTGTTGTGTTCTTGATGCCCTTCCACATCCACCGGGAGTCGTTGGTGGTGAAGTGGCCTTGAATTTTCTGGGTGTATGTGGCTCTGGCCCTCCCTCACAATGCCTGCAGTCAGTTCTTTCCTAAAGCAGCGTCCCTAGCTTTCAGCAGAGCTCTCACCTCGGCATTCAGCCAGGGTTTCTGGTTTGGATAACGTACTGTCCAGTTGGTGGTGACATTAACAGCACACTTAGAGATGAAGCCTAGTACAGAGGAGGTGTATCCCTCCAGGTCCACCTCTCCCTCATATATAGTAAGTAGAAAGAGTCAGGCAGCCTCTAAATTGTCACGGGTTGCCATAGTTAAACACATTTGTCTTGCTGTTTTAACAACAGCTAACATATTGTTTAGTGTACTACAACTTTTTATCATGGCGTGATAAAATTAGTTAAGCTACGAAATTGACATTAGTGATCCATTAATGGCCTGTATGCATTCATACAGGTGAGTGGATAATGACAGGAGAAAATAGCCCAAACTTCAGTAGCAGATGTAATCACTTTCTAGAAATATTAAAGCAATTTTGTTCGCGGAGAGAGTATTAGCTCTCATTGAGATATGTGGAGTCCCTCTGAATAATATATCCATGTGAGCAAGGGCACCTTAATAGGGTTTTCTTTAAATGTAAGTTTTCATTTAAAAAATAGAGAAAATACTGAATTTTTATTGTGCTTGCAATGGACAAATAAAATACAATAATTTCTTCCAATTTTGATCATGATTAGCAGGCATCTCATTGTTTTGTGATGTGTGAGGCACACGTAGCTTCTCTGAAGCCTGTCACTATTCCTTGTAAAGAGCTGACTGCTGCAGTGGTTGCTAGCAGGATGCACAAGTTATTGAGGAAGGAGTTACAAATGGACCTGTCTAACCCTAACCCTGCAACCATGTCTTTTGGACAGACAGCCCTTCTGTTTTGAAGTACGGTAAAAATTATACTTCTAGATTCAAAATCTTTGTAGCAAACTGAGAGTCAGATATGTATAAACTGTGCAACGCATCTTAATGAATGTATGTAAATACTTCAAGAAACCATGCAGATTTAACCTGTAGGGGTGCAGAGGTTCAGACACTAAAAATCTGATGAATGGCTTTCTGGTCCAGATTTCTTGTGTGAACCCGAGAACAGATGGCTAAAAATCCCTGAGATCTTGAAAGACATTTCAAGATCCTGAGGTCGAAATAGTGGTGATGAATTTTACTCAAGATGGAAAAGATAGTCCAGTAGAGAGGCTTTTTAACTACTTTTCTTTATGACTTAGCCTTAAGAAGGCTGCTGGTGGCTTCTCAAGTGTAACACCTTGTTGCTGTTTTTGTCACATCGAAAGCTGTTAAGAGAAACCCTTTCTGAACTACATCTAAGTGCTGAGCACCTGGAGAAAGAACTAGTTGTCAAGAGGAAAGATGACAAGGCTCAGGTACCAAAGAGTCTTCTATGCTTAGAAGATATGGTTTAGATATGGTAATAACTAGAGGTATTTATTACAGTTTGAAATTAATATCTGTAACGTAGTCAGATGTGAAAAAAAAGTGATGTGCTGTGAATACTTTTCTGATGCACCATAGTGCAGAAGTTTATTGTTTTGGTGTAATGTAATTTTAAATGTCACAACTTTAGCAGAAAAGTGTATGTAGAAAATAATCCTTATCAAAAATAAAGGCTCAACATCATCACTGTCTCTGTACTAAATATATGTAGTAAATCTAATGACTGACATGAATTAATATGTCAGTAAGATAAGTTTATTGAATATGGATGTATATATACAGATGCATTAAGTAATTTAGAATTTGAAAAGTCCGTTCAGTAAATCAATTCACTTAAGTCATTACATATAAACTGGCCTTTTAACGACTTTATTCCTTTTGATTATTTTTCACTTAAAGTTAAAGCACTTTTAATCTGACAAATGAGCCTCATCAGAACATATTTAAATGTATTAAATATGAGTGTTTGAATTTACATTTCCAAGTGACTAGGACGTCATGTTAGAGGGAGGAGCCCTCTAACCCGTACCAAGATGGCGATGGTATTGCCGCATCGTTCGTATCAACAGCAGTAGTCAAGGCGACATCATCATGTACATCTTTGAATGCTTTTGGTTTTCCGTTTTCTGCTGAGAACAGATGCGGTGCTAAGTCAGGGTGACTCTCTCTTTTACGTTTATTTTCTCTCACTGAGTTATTTATTTTGATGAAAAATATTCCCTCCGTATGGCTGTGTTATTGTAAACTGCAGCATTTCAAGAGGACTGCGAGAAGCCTCGTTATTCTAATGGTAATTATATTTAGCACAAACAATGAGACGTAATCTGGCGTTACTGAAGGTAAGTGGAAGTAGGAGGACATATGATGTACATAATTTCCCAAACATCCAGAACAGCTTATAGAAATGAAATGTGTCCTGCATGCTAGGTTCATGGAAACAGGGAATAAGGATTGGAGAATAAGGGGATGAAGGAAAAATCCTAGTCAGAGGAGTGTGTGTAATATGTACATCTTTTAATTGAGAGGCTTTTGCAACCGAAGATGGGGTTGCCTGTCGATAAGCAGTGAAAAAAGTAATGTATAGACTCTAGGTATGTAAGATTAGGATGTTAGATTTTAGACGTGCTTCCACAACATACCTGTGTGAGGGAGCAAACATGTTGCTATGCAGGCCAACATGCACATGTTGTCTATATATATAAAATCACTTGCAAGACAGATACTTTATCTATCTATCTATCTATCTATCTATCTATCTATCTATCTATCTATCTATCTATCTATCTATCTATCTATCTATCTATCTATCTATCTATCTGTGGACATAATCTATGCTACAGCTATTGTTGGATGGGTATAAATATCTATGTGCTAAACTTTCTGTCTATCTGTATTCAGGCATGGAAAGATGAAGAAGGAAACTATTCAATTCAGAGAAATGATGAAGAAACAAATTCTTCAAAAATAGACAAATATGGGATATAGCAGAAAGTCACATATTGTTAATGAATTTTGAAGCATCTAATCAGTATTGATTCATCTTTCTGATAAACGATAGAACTACCCTGTGCTGGTGACAGAACATTGATTGACTGCATTGGACTAAGGGGACATCAGTGCTGTGATGAAAGAATACATCTCTCCAGTGCTGTTGTAAGTTATGAGAACACTTGATTGTGTGTGCTCAGAAGAATCAAGACCACTCTGCAAAGAGAAAAGTGATACATTTGAACATTATTTTTATATTAATCCACTGCTGCAGGACAACATGCCTTATATTCTTTGATTAAAACAAGACTGAAAATTTTGGTTCAGAGTTTTCACCATGCCTCGCAATCAAGCTTTTTCTGAACCAGAGTACTCTGTGGAGTATTCAGCAGACTGCTCTGTGACATTGCCCTCTGATCCGGGGCAGGCTGTTGGGCGAACACACGAGGTTACAGTTCGAAATTCTGGATCCTGCCTTTGCCTGCCACGGTTTATGCGCCTGACATTTGCACCAGAGTCGTTGGAGAATCTCTACCAGACCTACTTCAGAAGGCAGAGACATGAAACACTTTTGGTGCTGGTTGTGTTTGCTGCTCTTTTTGATAGTTACATCCTCATCATGTGTGCAGTGGTTTATACCTCTGAAAAACTTGCATCTGTTTCTGTGGCAACTGTGGGATTGGCAGGAGATATTCTTCTCTACCTGCTGTGCCGCTTTGGGTTGTTACCAGACCGGATCTCAAGACGTTTTGTGCCCTATTCCCTCTGGGTCCTTATCGCATTACAGATATTTTGCCACTTGGGTCTAAACTATGCTCGTTTCCACCAGGCTAGTGACACAGTGGGTTGGCAGGCCTTCTTCAGCTTTTCTTTTTTCCTTACTCTGCCTTTGAGACTAACACCCATTGTGCTCATCACTACTGTATCCTGTGGGGTTCACACCCTGGTTCTTGGAGTCACCATTGCTCAGCAGCAGCAGGAGAACATCCAGGGCTCAGCGCTCGCCAGACAGGTAACACTTGAGGGGGGAAGTTGGGTCAGTGAGATTGTCTCGCACTAGTGTTTCTCAATTGTGGCTCTTATGTTCTTATGTAATTGTTTTAGATGTGTCTCTGTTGTAGAACAATTGACTCAAATGATTGCATGACCTCCTCTCCATGCACTTGATTGCATGCAGAGGGAACACCTAAAACATGCAAGGCAGTTGTCCTCGAGGACGGGAATTGAGAAATACTGTCGTAAGCTAACCTGGGTTAATAAATGTTCTTCAGTGATAGACAGGAATTAACTTTTGGACGGAAATAACTACAGTGTTCTTCTGTAATTTCTGTGAGTGTACTTAAAATGTGGAGCTTATAATTTGTGACGACTAGATTTAGTTACATGTTTGTGACAGACAAACATGGCCTACACCAGCTTTTCCATGCATTGTTGTGGGGATGCTGGTGCCTATTTCCAGAAGCTCTGTCCAGTTTGAGTAACCAGATTCAAAAGTGGCAGAAGTATCCCAAGACATAGTCCTTAGTTGAGGTCAGAAATGGGCCATGGTCATAAACAATAGGTCAAGGCAAGGCAAGAAGAAACCCTAGACAGGCTCTCAGGCATTATACAATCTAGCAGAAAATGTCTGGCTGGAAAGAACATATTTAGGTGGAGACATGGGAGAGAGGCAGCAGGCAATAATCAGACACAGGTACACATGATGAGAGTAATAGTGGAAAATAAGTGCGTAGGGTTGTCATCTTTCAGAAATAAAAATAAGGAACATTTGCCACAGTTTCTTGGGGGCCAGAGCTATTCAACTCTAACTCGGTGGAGTTCCCAGTGCTGTGGTATGCTTTATTTTATGTCTGTGTTTTTTCTAAAGGAGTGATCAAGAAACTAATTAGTCATACACAGAGGTGAGGAGTGAACCAACACTGTCTTGGCTCACAGTGTAAGTTGTAGTAGTAACTGGATTCGCCTGGGTTTCTGAAACTGAAATAACCCCTTTGAAATAAACTGGAACAAAAAATATATAAATGTGTGGTCTAACAATGGGAAAAGCCAGGTAGTAAATCTGGAAACAAGTTGGTAAAGTTGGGAATTGATCCCGAGGCAACCCAAGGTATTTCTTAAATCTCAAATGATTTGTTTTAGTGTGAATCACTATTTGGTCACTAAGATTAGAGAGAAACAGTATTTGTTTTAACATTTCATTTAGACATTTTCAAGAGTAAAGTGTGATCTGTGAATTTTCCACTCAGCTGTCCACGCCTTAATTAAACATAGCTAAATCTTAAACTTATTTATGAACTTTATACCATTACAGTTTAACCATTGAAAGTATTGCCATTAAACACTGTTTAAAGAAGAAACAACACTTGTCCACTGGTGTCAACTGTGGCAAGAAGTCTCTGGCAAAAACTTGCTGATAGTTTCAAAAATGTGGACATAATGTTTCCTTATTTATTTGTAGGCAACTACGTATGTATGTCCAATTAATTAGAAAAAAATCCCCAAAATAAGCAACCAATTCTTGTTTTTTTTTGTTTTTAAATACTCCACTATGGAAATTTAAGAATAAATAAAATCCTTGAAAGCAGATATTAAATGATATTCATGATCACGGTGATTGCATGTACATCTCTGCTGTTTGTCCCCATCAATTTTTGAAAATGCATTTATTTATTTTTTGTAATCTGCCCAGGATTAAAACTGTTATAGACAGATTTAACACAGATTATAGCATTAATACCCCGTTCACTAGTTAGTTAACTATCTTGTAACATGAGATTGGAGGGAGCCTCGCCACATTGACTGACATACTGTACTTCTCTATCTCATATGGGTCCCTCCTGAAAGCAACAGTTTTGTTTATGCGCATTGGTTGAGTGTCCAGATATTTTCTTTTTTGTTGGTCTCGAAGCCATGGGTCTGCTACGCATTGCGCAAACAAATGGTCTTGGTATATACTAAGACAGTGTGGATCACTTCTGGTTCAGACTTGTGGGAACTATGTATAGGGCTTCTTGTAGTCAAATAGTTCATAAATAGATGTATATTCTCATCTCATCCTGAGTTCTAATTTTGAATCTCTCTTCATGTTTGTTTTCAAGCTACTGGCCAACATTGTGATCTATATTTGTGCCATCACCGTGGGTGTCACATCGTACTACATGGCTGACCGGAAGCATCGAAAGGCTTTTCTGGAAGCAAGACAGTCACTGGAGGTTAAACTTAACCTAGAAGAGCAAAGCCAGCAACAGGTAAGAAGACCTATAGACACCTTGCATGCTATCATTTACCTCTGGAAATTTTGCATATGGGCACAACACTGGAGGGAAAAAAGACTGTTGTTTTACATGCCATCCATAGCCAGGCTGCTGTGGTACAATAATTTTGTTAGCAAAATGAAACTGAAGATGTTGGTATTATTAATTCAGTGCAACACCACAGCAATGGGAAAAATAACTCGGAAAAACTTTTGAAGAATGATTCAAAACCACTCGTATTTTTGTTGTTCTCTGTGTTGGCTACAATACACACAGACTTGTTGCCATAGCAACTGATTGACAACAACGCCACTAATGTATCAAGATTCAATGCCAAAAAAAACTGTCATGATTTGCGGTTGGTGATGGTGAGGATGAACGCAACAAGCCCAGGTTGACATAATTAGAAGATGATAGGTTTAATGATGAATCTGAGAAACAAAATCCAAACACTGGCAACACAGGGAAACTGGAGCCTTAGGCACACAGACAGGAACGACAGCGTTGACACGGCAATATCTGACATTAGACAAGGACCCGACAAGAGACAGAGACAACAGGTGGACTTAAATACACTGGAGGTAATCTGGAGGTAATCAGGGAAACTAGACACAGCTGGGAAACAATCAAGGGGAGAACAGGACAACACAGAGACTCACTGGACAAGGAAACCAAAAATAAACACAGAAAACTCAAATCCTCACAGACTTAAACATTTCCTACACAAAGAACAGAACATTCAGTATTATGTTTTTAGGCTTGATGTTTATTTTGCAATCATTAATAAGTAATCTTTGTGATAGATTATTTATTATCTAGTTAGCTGCTATTAGCTAGTCTAACTAGATGATTAGCTCATTTAAACACCTGCTCTGCTGATGATCTGTCAGAGTTTGTGTGTAGGTCGCCTTTTTTTGTTTAAACACACAGAATTTCACCTCACATCTACATGCTACAGTTGTCCACTACTTCCCTCTCCCTTGCTATTTTTTCTTCATTAAAACTTTTTCCTGACCTTGTTATCTTGTTATCATAGTGTTGACAATTAGTGTAGACATTTAAGTGTAAGCACTGCTTACACTTAAGATTTAGCAAGTTTTATTGAAAACTTAGCAGCTAAATCCAATGCTAGTCATTGTTAGCAAGCAGCTTTTTGCCCTCTAAGAGGGAGTGGGGGCAGGATCTTGTGCACGTGACCTCATTCTGCAAGGGCTCTATCGTAAATATTTTACTGTAATAAGTGGGACAGTCAAATCAAAATCAAATCAAGTTGTATTTGTATAGCACATTTCAGCAACAAAGCGCTTTATGTCATCCATCCATCCATTTTCTAAGACCCTTGTCCCTAGTGGGATCAGGGGGGTGCTGGTGCCTATCTCCAGCTAACATTCCGGGCCCATCCTGAAAGAAACTATTTTGAGAGACGGGGTACACCCTGGACAGGTCGCCAGTCTGTCGTAGGGCAACCCAGAGACAGCCAGCACAAATAACCATGCACACAGACACACACCTAGGGAGAATTTGGAGAGACCAATTAACATGACAGTCATGGTTTTGGACTGTGGGATGAAGCCGGAGTACCTGGAGAGAACCCACCATGCACAGGGAGAACATGCAAACTCCATGCAGAAAGACCCGGACTGGGAATCGAACCCAGAACCTTCTTGCTGCAAGGAAACAGCTCTACCAACTGCACCAATGTGCAGCCCGTTTTATGTCATAAAAACACAAAAATACAAAGTCATAGAAACACACAGTCAACAACTGAAACACTACATGCAGATCAGAAACCAGAAGACTTGAGGGGTCTGGAAGGTTGATACAACATCAGCATGTCTTTAATGTATTGTGGTGCTAAGCCGTTCAGTGATTTATAAACCAACAGTATCTCAAAGTATGTTCTCTGAGGTCCAGGCAGCCAGTGTATTGACTTTAGACCTTGGGTGATGTGCTCTATCTTTCTGGTTTTAGTAGAATATGAACAGCAGCGTTCTGGATCAGATTGAGCTGGAGGATTGATTTTTTAGTCAGACCTGTGAAGACGCTGTTGCAGTAATCAATGCGACTAAAGAAACACATGGATGAGTTTCTCTAGATCTCACTGAGACATCAGTCCTCTAATCCTGGAGATGTTCTTCAGGTGGTAGAAGGCCGACTTTGTGACTGTCTTAATGTGGCTCTGAAGGTTCAGGTCAGAGTCCATCACTACTCCCAGGTTTCGGGCCTGATCACTGGTTTCTAGCTGTAATAACTGAAGTTGTGTGTTGACTCTACATCGTTTCTCTTTAGGTCCAAAGATAATAACCTCCTTAATAATAACCAGTTTTGTTTCTGTTCAGCTGGAGAATGTTATGGCAGATCCACACATTTATCTGTTCTAAGCATCTGTTCAGTGATTGGATGGGTTCAGAGTCACCTGGTGACATCGTAATGCAAAGCTGTATATCATCTGTGTAGTTATGGTAACAAATCCTATTTGCTGTTATAACCTGAGCTAGTGGGAGCATATACATATTGAATTAGAATGGTCCTAGGATTGAACCTTGGAGTACCCCACATCTGACTTCTGTCCGCTTCAATGAGAAGTTTCCTATTGAAACAAAGAAAAATCCCAGTTCTTTATGTAAGATTTGAACCAGTTGCATACTGGACCAGAGAGTCCTACTCAAGTCTTAAGAGCCTGTCAAGTGCTGCAAATAAAGCTCAACCATCATTAAGGTTTTTGTTTTATGATTTCAGCAAAGAACAGTTCCCTTGCATGTTTTAGTGTTGAGTGATAGCTATGCAGTCTTTCTTTATAGATCTCATAATAAACGTGAAGTTGAGTTTTACACCATTTATGTTCGGTCTTACGGCAAAGTTGTCTTCCAGATCTAATTGTTTGTGCATTTCTCCATGGAAACTTGTTCCTACCAGACACAACCTTCATTTCAATGGGAGCAGTGAAATAAATGGTACCTGAAATTTTAGAATGTAAATTATCTACCAACTCATCTACATGGTTACAGCTTAAAGGCGAGGAAGAAGAGTAGATTTGATTAAATGTTTCTGCTGTGTTGTCTGTGAAAGAGTGTTTTATGATAGTAGCTGATTGGCTAAGGATTGNTTTGAAATAAACTGGAACAAAAAATATATAAATGTGTGGTCTAACAATGGGAAAAGCCAGGTAGTAAATCTGGAAACAAGTTGGTAAAGTTGGGAATTGATCCCGAGGCAACCCAAGGTATTTCTTAAATCTCAAATGATTTGTTTTAGTGTGAATCACTATTTGGTCACTAAGATTAGAGAGAAACAGTATTTGTTTTAACATTTCATTTAGACATTTTCAAGAGTAAAGTGTGATCTGTGAATTTTCCACTCAGCTGTCCACGCCTTAATTAAACATAGCTAAATCTTAAACTTATTTATGAACTTTATACCATTACAGTTTAACCATTGAAAGTATTGCCATTAAACACTGTTTAAAGAAGAAACAACACTTGTCCACTGGTGTCAACTGTGGCAAGAAGTCTCTGGCAAAAACTTGCTGATAGTTTCAAAAATGTGGACATAATGTTTCCTTATTTATTTGTAGGCAACTACGTATGTATGTCCAATTAATTAGAAAAAAATCCCCAAAATAAGCAACCAATTCTTGTTTTTTTTTGTTTTTAAATACTCCACTATGGAAATTTAAGAATAAATAAAATCCTTGAAAGCAGATATTAAATGATATTCATGATCACGGTGATTGCATGTACATCTCTGCTGTTTGTCCCCATCAATTTTTGAAAATGCATTTATTTATTTTTTGTAATCTGCCCAGGATTAAAACTGTTATAGACAGATTTAACACAGATTATAGCATTAATACCCCGTTCACTAGTTAGTTAACTATCTTGTAACATGAGATTGGAGGGAGCCTCGCCACATTGACTGACATACTGTACTTCTCTATCTCATATGGGTCCCTCCTGAAAGCAACAGTTTTGTTTATGCGCATTGGTTGAGTGTCCAGATATTTTCTTTTTTGTTGGTCTCGAAGCCATGGGTCTGCTACGCATTGCGCAAACAAATGGTCTTGGTATATACTAAGACAGTGTGGATCACTTCTGGTTCAGACTTGTGGGAACTATGTATAGGGCTTCTTGTAGTCAAATAGTTCATAAATAGATGTATATCCTCATCTCATCCTGAGTTCTAATTTTGAATCTCTCTTCATGTTTGTTTTCAAGCTACTGGCCAACATTGTGATCTATATTTGTGCCATCACCGTGGGTGTCACATCGTACTACATGGCTGACCGGAAGCATCGAAAGGCTTTTCTGGAAGCAAGACAGTCACTGGAGGTTAAACTTAACCTAGAAGAGCAAAGCCAGCAACAGGTAAGAAGACCTATAGACACCTTGCATGCTATCATTTACCTCTGGAAATTTTGCATATGGGCACAACACTGGAGGGAAAAAAGACTGTTGTTTTACATGCCATCCATAGCCAGGCTGCTGTGGTACAATAATTTTGTTAGCAAAATGAAACTGAAGATGTTGGTATTATTAATTCAGTGCAACACCACAGCAATGGGAAAAATAACTCGGAAAAACTTTTGAAGAATGATTCAAAACCACTCGTATTTTTGTTGTTCTCTGTGTTGGCTACAATACACACAGACTTGTTGCCATAGCAACTGATTGACAACAACGCCACTAATGTATCAAGATTCAATGCCAAAAAAAACTGTCATGATTTGCGGTTGGTGATGGTGAGGATGAACGCAACAAGCCCAGGTTGACATAATTAGAAGATGATAGGTTTAATGATGAATCTGAGAAACAAAATCCAAACACTGGCAACACAGGGAAACTGGAGCCTTAGGCACACAGACAGGAACGACAGCGTTGACACGGCAATATCTGACATTAGACAAGGACCCGACAAGAGACAGAGACAACAGGTGGACTTAAATACACTGGAGGTAATCTGGAGGTAATCAGGGAAACTAGACACAGCTGGGAAACAATCAAGGGGAGAACAGGACAACACAGAGACTCACTGGACAAGGAAACCAAAAATAAACACAGAAAACTCAAATCCTCACAGACTTAAACATTTCCTACACAAAGAACAGAACATTCAGTATTATGTTTTTAGGCTTGATGTTTATTTTGCAATCATTAATAAGTAATCTTTGTGATAGATTATTTATTATCTAGTTAGCTGCTATTAGCTAGTCTAACTAGATGATTAGCTCATTTAAACACCTGCTCTGCTGATGATCTGTCAGAGTTTGTGTGTAGGTCGCCTTTTTTTGTTTAAACACACAGAATTTCACCTCACATCTACATGCTACAGTTGTCCACTACTTCCCTCTCCCTTGCTATTTTTTCTTCATTAAAACTTTTTCCTGACCTTGTTATCTTGTTATCATAGTGTTGACAATTAGTGTAGACATTTAAGTGTAAGCACTGCTTACACTTAAGATTTAGCAAGTTTTATTGAAAACTTAGCAGCTAAATCCAATGCTAGTCATTGTTAGCAAGCAGCTTTTTGCCCTCTAAGAGGGAGTGGGGGCAGGATCTTGTGCACGTGACCTCATTCTGCAAGGGCTCTATCGTAAATATTTTACTGTAATAAGTGGGACAGTCAAATCAAAATCAAATCAAGTTGTATTTGTATAGCACATTTCAGCAACAAAGCGCTTTATGTCATCCATCCATCCATTTTCTAAGACCCTTGTCCCTAGTGGGATCAGGGGGGTGCTGGTGCCTATCTCCAGCTAACATTCCGGGCCCATCCTGAAAGAAACTATTTTGAGAGACGGGGTACACCCTGGACAGGTCGCCAGTCTGTCGTAGGGCAACACAGAGACAGACAGGACAAATAACCATGCACACAGACACACACCTAGGGAGAATTTGGAGAGACCAATTAACATGACAGTCATGGTTTTGGACTGTGGGATGAAGCCGGAGTACCTGGAGAGAACCCACCATGCACAGGGAGAACATGCAAACTCCATGCAGAAAGACCCGGACTGGGAATCGAACCCAGAACCTTCTTGCTGCAAGGAAACAGCTCTACCAACTGCACCAATGTGCAGCCCGTTTTATGTCATAAAAACACAAAAATACAAAGTCATAGAAACACACAGTCAACAACTGAAACACTACATGCAGATCAGAAACCAGAAGACTTGAGGGGTCTGGAAGGTTGATACAACATCAGCATGTCTTTAATGTATTGTGGTGCTAAGCCGTTCAGTGATTTATAAACCAACAGTATCTCAAAGTATGTTCTCTGAGGTCCAGGCAGCCAGTGTATTGACTTTAGACCTTGGGTGATGTGCTCTATCTTTCTGGTTTTAGTAGAATATGAACAGCAGCGTTCTGGATCAGATTGAGCTGGAGGATTGATTTTTTAGTCAGACCTGTGAAGACGCTGTTGCAGTAATCAATGCGACTAAAGAAACACATGGATGAGTTTCTCTAGATCTCACTGAGACATCAGTCCTCTAATCCTGGAGATGTTCTTCAGGTGGTAGAAGGCCGACTTTGTGACTGTCTTAATGTGGCTCTGAAGGTTCAGGTCAGAGTCCATCACTACTCCCAGGTTTCGGGCCTGATCACTGGTTTCTAGCTGTAATAACTGAAGTTGTGTGTTGACTCTACATCGTTTCTCTTTAGGTCCAAAGATAATAACCTCCTTAATAATAACCAGTTTTGTTTCTGTTCAGCTGGAGAATGTTATGGCAGATCCACACATTTATCTGTTCTAAGCATCTGTTCAGTGATTGGATGGGTTCAGAGTCACCTGGTGACATCGTAATGCAAAGCTGTATATCATCTGTGTAGTTATGGTAACAAATCCTATTTGCTGTTATAACCTGAGCTAGTGGGAGCATATACATATTGAATTAGAATGGTCCTAGGATTGAACCTTGGAGTACCCCACATCTGACTTCTGTCCGCTTCAATGAGAAGTTTCCTATTGAAACAAAGAAAAATCCCAGTTCTTTATGTAAGATTTGAACCAGTTGCATACTGGACCAGAGAGTCCTACTCAAGTCTTAAGAGCCTGTCAAGTGCTGCAAATAAAGCTCAACCATCATTAAGGTTTTTGTTTTATGATTTCAGCAAAGAACAGTTCCCTTGCATGTTTTAGTGTTGAGTGATAGCTATGCAGTCTTTCTTTATAGATCTCATAATAAACGTGAAGTTGAGTTTTACACCATTTATGTTCGGTCTTACGGCAAAGTTGTCTTCCAGATCTAATTGTTTGTGCATTTCTCCATGGAAACTTGTTCCTACCAGACACAACCTTCATTTCAATGGGAGCAGTGAAATAAATGGTACCTGAAATTTTAGAATGTAAATTATCTACCAACTCATCTACATGGTTACAGCTTAAAGGCGAGGAAGAAGAGTAGATTTGATTAAATGTTTCTGCTGTGTTGTCTGTGAAAGAGTGTTTTATGATAGTAGCTGATTGGCTAAGGATTGATGCAGCGTCAGCAGTGAAACGGGCGCTGTACCGTTCTGTCTTGGTGAAGAGAGAGCTGAGCCAAAAAACGAAGCTCTCGATTTACCGGTCGATCTACGTTCCCACCCTCATCTATGGTCATGAGCTTTGGGTCATGACCGAAAGATCGAGATCACGGATAAAAGCTGCCGAACTGGGTTTCCTCCGCAGGGTGGCTGAGATCTCCCTCAGAGATAGGTTGAGAAGCTCGGTCATCCGGTAGGGACTCAGAGTAGAGCCGCTGCTCCTCCACGTCAAGAGCATGTGGTCAGGATGCCTCCTGGACGCCTCCCTGGTGAGGTGTTCCGGGCACGTCCCACCGGGAGGAGGCCCCGAGGAAGACCCAGGACACGCTGTCTCTCGGCTGGCCTGGGAACGCCTTGGGGTTCCCCCGGAGGAGCTGTAAGAAGTGGCTGGGGAAAGGGAAGTCTGGGCCTCCCTTCTGAAGCTGCTGCCCCCCGCCACCCGACCCCGGATAAGTGGAAGAAAATGGATGGATAGATGGATGGATGGATGATTGGCTAAGAGAGTGAACAGAAATTGCACTGTCAAAGATAACAGTGTCATCTTTGTCAGACAGGACGACAATCAGTTACAGATATTGGAAATATTCAAACCCTTACTGATATCCAGGTCCAGTGTGTGACCTCAATTGTGTGTTTATTTAACAAGCTGATTTAGACCAAAATTTTCAAGTATGTCACACAGCTTTGTTGGCCCTCTGTCTTCAGGCTTGTCAACATGAATGTTGAAATCTCCCACAATTGTTAAACAGTCACTATCAATGCATATAAAAGATAAAAGCTCATTAAAGTCAATGAAGAAGTTTTACACATGTTGAGCTTTTGTACAAAGTTAGCGTCAGAGTTTGTGTATGGGTTTTTACCTCAATTCTCAGATATTTGAAAGAGTTAAAATGGCCTATTCTAGAGGAAGACGGGTGCAAAGCTACTGTCTGAAATCTCCGACCTCTGATACACAGAGTGGTGGATGCTCTGGGTAATCAGAGCCAGTTGGTTTTGATGGAGTAAAGTCTCCTTTGTGAGCACTAAGAAAAGAAGTAGCTTTGATAACTTGTTGATTCAATCCATCCATGAATTTGAGAAACTCAGGTCCAGAAGAAGACATTTCTTCAGAAGTGGACTGTCAGAAAGTAAAGAGCTTATAAACTGGGAGCATGATTACTGGACGGAGCACTAGTGGCTGATTGGGAAGAGGCTGCAGCTGAGGGTAGAGACCAGACAGGGAGAGTGAGGGAGTGGGGGTACTGACACAGGAGGAGAAAACATTAACTAGGAAACAAGCAAAACATAAATCTAACTGTAGTAAAATATAAACTAAATACAAAGATTAAACTACACACACAGAACTAAACCTATGTTCAATCTAAAGACAGAAACTAGGGCTGAGGATAAAAATAAAGAAACTTGAAAATCTAATCAACCCTGGATCCTGGAAGATAGTTGTTTTCAAGTTTATTGTGCTTTTTACACATTATAAATACATTATAGAGTATGTAGAGAATAAAGAGAAAGCATGGAATGTCAAAGTAAATCAAAGTATGTGTTCAGTCACAAGTATGGTTCATGTCTATGATTTATTGTCATGTGCTCTACAGGAACGTCTCCTGCTCTCCATTCTTCCCAAGCATATAGCTGATGAGATGCTTCAGGATATGAAGAAGGAGCCCAGTCAAAAAGAGATGCAACAGTTCAACACCATGTACATGTACAGGCATGAAAATGTCAGGTAACTTGGCTGTATGTTGCGGTAAGTCTGTCTAAAGCAGTACTTCTCAAATAGTGGGGTGCGCCCCCTGGGGCAGCGGGCTGGGGGGCTGAGCATCATGACTATGGGCGTCAGAAGCAGGACTTTATAGTTGTCCTCTTTTCTCATGCTTGACTGATAAACAAACCTCCAGTCACTAGGTGGCAGCAGTGTTCAAATCAATCAACAGGCTCCCTGTTCAAGCCAGTAGAAGAGGTAGTCTATACTGAAATACTGGTGCAGAGCTGTGGATAGAAGCACAGATGTTTTGAAACACATCCACCACCATAGAGAAGAGATGGAGAAGTTTGTGACAGTGAAAAGAAAAATCATGGCAGAGGGTAGTAAAGCAAGCATGATGGAGTTTTAGGGCCAGACTAATATATTTTTTTAACTACAAGAATAAAGTCATAATATTACGAGAACAGATATACTACAAAGTCGTCACAGTCAAAAGATGGAAATTTTTTTTAATTTTAATTAAAAAAAAGTTTGATAGTTATCAAGATCTGACGTGACCAGCTCAGCAAGTCTGGTTCTTTGAAATAAAAAGTTGTTTAAACAATCGTTTCAAAGTCCTGTGGCTGATGATTTTATTCTGGTGTTTTAAAAGATGAAGTATTTCCTTATTTGTAAAACCAATACCAACTATAACTTCACAAGACCCTCAGTAGTCCTCATTTTATCACAAATGTGGTATAGAATTCTAAGAAAATTACAACTATATTGTATTATTACAAGTTTTGTGTTATATTTCAAACAAGCAAAAAAACAATCTCTTAGTCTGGCTACATCTTCGTAAGCAAGTAACTGTAGCTCTCAGAAATATGAAGCCTATTTACTGTGAATGTAAAATGTTATGCACATTTCATCTCCTCTGACAAACTGGAATATAAGTAATATAATTGCAAATTTTGCACAAAAAATGTTTTAAAAACTATATACCTTTTGAAAAACAAACTGAAGAAGTTGGAAATTATTTTTTACAAACTTTTTACAAAGTTTCTCTGTTAGACTAAAAATGTACCTCTCAGGGAATCATTTGCTCTTTTTTCTGTTGAGAATCTCACAGACTGAGCAGTTTTGATTCAATGTTACTGACTTAGTTAATAAACTAAACTTGGAAATTGTTTGGAAACTTAAAACAATAAAATGACATACTACTGCTCATTTTAGCTGTTTTGATATTCTGGTCATAGAATGGTGGAGCTAGTTAACACACATAAATTAATCAAATTCAGTTACTCGATATCTATAAGTTGAAGCCCAAAGAAAAAAGTTGGCTCCATTTTTTCTCAACAATTATTTTATGAATGCTCATTTAGTCATAGATGTGGTCTTGCCCGTCTTCTTTACTGTCTTTTTCTCATGTACCCATGGCAGCTTGACATCATGAATGCCTGTAACACTGTGGTACATCCTGCCAGCCAGGGGTGACTCTTCTACCATCTCCCAGTTGGCAGAGCTTAATAGAGTACAATATGAAACTCATAGCATTTTGGGGAAGTGAAATGGTAAAGTTGAAGCCCTTGTTTGCACATAATATACTCTGTTTATTTTTTAAAAATCAAGCATTAATTTTCTTCCTAGAGGAAAAGGGAAAAAAACCCTCAATTGGTAAAAAGCTATTTGCAGTAGCGATAATAAATGGAATCTGGTAATCATGTTCTTCTGACTGGCAGTACTTCCAGTGTCTTGCTAGACGCTATTAGGGTTTACTATCTATAAAACCAAGGGCAGCTGATAAAGTAATGAAAAGTCAAAATTTTGTGAACCTTTCTCAGCATGTATTCAGTACCAACCATGTGTCCTGCAATACAAAATTGCTAATGTGTAGCTATTATGTTAATATTTTAACAACTACTGCAGTTCCCTTGATGAAATAGACCTACTGCACATATTGACTTGTGTCAGTTCAATGATTCAACCTTTAATTTAAGTATACAAATTGCAATTTATTTTTAAACTTTGCTATTATTTCCACATTCATGCAACAGACCTAGGGTAGTAATTAGTTTCAGTTGCTTTTTCATGAGTAAATTATTTAGAGGCATAAACATTCTTCTATTGAGAGATATTGCCTATAAATCTTGTGCACTTAATCATAGTATGGAGCTAAAACAGTCTCAATATTCACATGCAACAAGGCAGCCTTTTGCGGCTGGAGTTTACAGTGAGGAAGACTACTTGAGGCAGAGTCAGGTGGAAACAGCAGTGGGTTTATTCTTCTCACAGCATCAACAAAACATTTCACAGGTGAAACTGCAGGCTAAAATAGTCTCAGCTGTGACGGACCAAACCACTTCCAATTCACAGGGGGATCTCAATTCACCAATCTCCATCTATTTAAATAAAATACCTTTTACTAAACACAAACATTTCCATTTACTTTATATAAATATTTTATGTTTTATCTTACACCAAATGAAGCCACCACAGAAACCCATATATGACCCCCCCTTTTCCCCCCACTTTTCAATGGCCTCTCCCGGAACCTGTAAATGGTGTCTGGACCCCTGGGGTAGTATTTGTCCAAACACCCTGGAGAGGACACAGAAAAGACAGGCGAGTCACTTAATATCAGCACTCCACACCTAACAGATTATGCACAAACATTTGCTCAGTTTTACCCACCAGTAGCTCATTGCTCTGAGTAACAATTATCCTCCCTCCACAGGCAACCAGCTCACTTCTCAATGAGGAGCAGCTGTGCAGAGCCCAGAACAAAAGGCTACATGCTAATTACTAAAATACTCCATAAATACAATTAAAACTTCTCGTGTGCAAATTGTTATGTGCAAATTTCTACTTGAAGTGCAGTGCTAAATAAACTGCTTGTTAATAAAGTGCAAAAAGTGCTTTTAAAGTGCTATACAGTGACTTAAGTAAAATAGTCCCAGTATTGAAGCTCTCTTCATTACATCACAAATGCACAAAACAAGTCACAAATGTGCAGAATGATCCACACATGCAGAGGATGATTCATGCACTTTTTTCCCACTTTGGGTAACTTTTGTATAAGCCAGTCACATTAACCCATTCCAAAAGCTCTGTATCTGACTGGTTGCTGAACATTCCCTGTTTAAAAAAAGACATTTGTGGATTGAGCCACTTGGAAGAATCTCAAAATTCACACACAAAGCCCACAGGCCAGAATTAGTATTTATATCAAGATCCAGGGGTGCTGCCAGGAATCGTGGGCCCCCCTGACAAAAAAATTTGTTTACCCCC